GACAAAAATAGCAAAGATTCCACTGATTTTTTTTGCTAATTATTGCAAAATCCAGTTAGTTTATTAAATTTTTACACACACATCTGTTAGCCCTTCTAACAAAGTAGTGTGAAAAATTTTCTTTATTCCTTTCTGCTCTTACATTTAGTAATGAACTCAAACCACTGATCTCCAGTGGTCTTTTGTCCCTAACCTTTCCAAAATATAGTAATTATGGAAGATGTTTGAAATAATAAAGTAAGCGTAATATCTCTGATCCATACCTCCTTGAACAATAGTCTGGTTACCAGAATGTTTAGACTCCTTGTCTATGACATCCTGAACTAATAATCATAAAAGTTAAGTCTCCAAATAAATAAAATTGAGACTGACATTTAATTCAATTTGATTGAATAAAATCTAAAAGAAATTGTGGGATGGATCGTTTCTGATGTAATCCCACATTTAACACATCAGGGCAAGATATTTACATAAATTTGCATATGTTATTAGATTGAATAAACATGCAGTGTTTCAAATAAATGCTACCTCTTATGAGGCTTCTGCTACATATTGTCTGTTAAAAAAGATGAGAGACTTTCCAAATTCCAGAATGCTTGCTATTCGCAAATGGCAAAAATGTTTTAGTTTATTAACTCTCAAATGTAAGGAATTGTAAGTCAGCCATTCTTTATATGCAATGGTTTCTTTTGGTTTTGTGCTAGTAAAGCTGCTTCTTCAGCTCACTTAGCATATACTCATACTAAGAATGAATATTTTCTTCTCCTAACTGGGTTCATTAAAGGGAATCTCCAACCACTTTGCTTAGCCCAGTTAAATCAATCTTTAAGGTAAGAAACATTTTTCAACATTAATAAGCCATGGCACACTTAAATATTATTTTAAAATATAATTGGCATTTCTGTGCAGGCATTGACACGAGGTCATAATTTGCTTTCCCTTAATCCTTTAAAATGAATTGAGTGTTGGGTGAAAGAAGCTGGGTTGATAGACGTAGAAACTGAAATCCTCTGCTGTTTCTGCAGAACAGATATATCAAGAGCACACATGCCTGATCTCTGGTCTGGGCTAAAGAGGTAGTGCACACTCCTCATCAGTTTTCTGGGGGGGCCTCACCTTTGGTAACACTTAAAGTGAGGATGTCAGTTAATACTTTGGTGATTGTTTTAGTGATGTGTTATTCTGTTCTGAATGGACTAAGGCCAGCAAATCACTTCAGGTGTGCCAACAAAAGAACCATAGGTTCATGATGCTTTATGACATTCTAGGTTACATGGAGATCTCACTACAGAGTCTATTAAATAGTTGTAAAGATGTGGGCAGAGACTCCCAACTTTGCATATGACTTCTAAAACAAGCAGTTGGAAGCAGCACAGTTGATATTATCATTATTGTTTGTACTATGGTAGCCCCTAGAGGCCCCAAGCAAAATTGGAAATTGTGCTAGGTAAGGTACAAACACCTGTGGGGTGGGGGTGGGGGGGGTTCTTGCCATGAAGAGTGTCCAATGTAAATAAACAAAGCAGACAAAGGATGGAAGGGCAGATGGTCAATGAGACAGACAATAATTTGCCCAGGATGATAGAGCTGGCCATTGGCAGAGCTTGGGATAGAACCTAGGGGTTAACTTAAAGTTGAATGCCTGATACGCTGCATATCAAGCTGCAGCCTTTATATAACAGAGAGATGATTCCTACTGCCTTATTTCAACCCTTTCTTTACAAATAAAATCTTTTTCTATGTTAACAGTTTTTTAGTGGGAGGGTAAAGTGATATGTAAAGTCTCTGTTTATTCACCTTTGAAGAGATGCTTGCAGAGTAAGGCTACTGACAGCAAAGCTCACAAATGTTTAAACAATCAAAATGTATACCCTACAGCATGACTGCAGTAGTTGTCATGCAAAGTTTAATGCTTGTAATGTTTTTTTCCCCTCCTTTTGAGGCTTGAAAAACTACAGTACACTTTCTCTCACACACAACACAAAATACAGTGGAAACACAACTGCAAACTCTTATTCAAAGCCATACGCTTCAAAGCAGAAAGACCCCCCGCCCCCACCTTTGCTTCTGTCAGGGTTCCTTCCCCACTCTGAACTCTAGGGTACAGATGTGGGGACCCGCAAGAAAGACCCCCTTAGCTTATTCTTACCAGTTTAGGTTAAAACTTCCCCACGGTACAAACTTTGCCTTGTCCTTGAACAGTATGCTGCCACCACCAAGCGTTTTAAACAAAGAACAGGGAAAGAGACCACTTGGAGACGTCTTCCCCCAAAATATCCCCCCAAGCCCTACACACCCCCTTTCCTGGGGAGGCTTGAGAATAATAGCCTAACAAATTGGTTACAAAATCATCAAAGACCCAAACCCCTGGATCTTGGAACAGTGGAAAAATCAGTCAGGTTCTTAAAAGAAGGATTTTGTTTAAAAAAAAAAAAAGGTAAAAATCACCTCTGTAAAATCAGGATGGAAAATACTTTACAGGGTATTCAGATTCAAAACACAGAGGATCCCCCTCTGGGCAAAACCTTAAAGTTACAGAAAACAGGAATAAACCTCCCTCTTAACACAGGGAAAATTCACATAAAACAAAAAATAAACTAATTCGCCTTGCCTGGCTTACCTATACTGGTTGCAATATTGGAGACTTGGATTAGAATGGGTTGGAGAAGATGGATTTATGTCTGACCTCTCTCAGTCCCAAGAGAGAACAACCACGTAAATAAAGAGCACAAACAAAAGCCTTCTTCCCTCCCCAAAATTTGAAAGTATCTTGTCCCCTTATTGGTCCTTTGGGTCAGGTGCCAGCCAGGTTAGCTGAATTTCTTAACCCTTTACAGGTAACAGGATGTTGTCTCTGGCCAGGAGGGATTTTATAGTGTTGTATACAGAAAGGTGTATACCCTTCTCTTTATATTTATGACAGCTTCAAAGCTTTGTGAGAATTCTGACTGCTGCAGTTGGGACATAGGTTTCTCATTGCACTGAGTAAAGAATTCATTCTACTGGAGAGTGCTCCCTTTGGCTGACTGACAGGGGCATTACCAGCTTTCTACATTCAGGGAGTGGCTGCTGGTAGGAAGGCAAGATGACTGTCAAATGGATTATTTGTCAGCTGTTGGTATTGAATCCCAGTTTTCCCAGAGCTTCATACATGCAAAACAAAACAAACAAGCTTCAAAGCCCCACCTTTTAAAAGCTGTTAAGCTGATAAGCTAAATGAATGCTGTGTACATTTCTGCCTATAAATTGAAATGCTTAGTGAAATTGTTTTCGTAGTAAGAGTGCTGAAGAGCTAAAGTTACAAAATTATAAAGTTTCCAGTAGATAAGTATAAATCTACATATTCAGTTCATCATGCTGTGAGTGGAATTGTGTGTCTGGGCATATATATAGTTTGTCAAGCTTAGCATTACTTACAGTTACTTTTTGACAAGAGTACATTGGCAAGTCAAATTTGTAATATTGCAGTTTTTTGGAAGTGCATTAGGACTGCAATAAAAATGACACAAACACAAAATCTAGAATATTGCTGGCAAATGGCTCTTCTGTTCTCTCTGATTATCTTTGAGATCATGTACAAAAAATATTTTACACTGTTTCAGCACTTTGGCAAAGCAAATGATATAACTAGAGGCATATTAAGTCTCTGCTAACAGGACTACCTGCTGGTGGATGACATCTCTGTGTGCTTTGTGCGACACAGCTGTGATAGCAATACTGCATGAGTTAGGCTGTGCTGCCTGGCCCACCATGATCCCATGAACCTTACTTCCTGCTTTTTCTGGGATCCATGTAAGATCCATGAAGGGACAAAAGTTGTAATGAACCATATGGTCCTGGGTGCTGTCTAAGCCAGGAGAAAGTGTTTTTACTGGGTGGGGTAGCAGGGGAAGGAGGCTGAAAAGGAACGAGCAAGAAGGCCCACCTTCCCTTTACTATGCTGGAGAAAGCTATTTGGCAGGTGGAGATTTTCATAGCTACCATCCTGGAGACTACAAGCTGGTTGTGTGTCCTGAGCATAAGAACAGTTTGGGGATTGATTGGGGAGTACATGGTAACTTGCCCCTCCCCATCTCTCTCTGGTATAGAGTGATTACACTTCCTGCCATTTCAGAACTACCCTATAAAATTCTGTAGCAGAGATACACTTTTGCTATTACATTATAAAAAATTAAATCTGATTCCATTTGATTTCACCTTCATTTCCATAAAGAGAATAACAGCTGTAGTGTTACACACCTGGCAGGGCTCACAGAGCACATTTGGAGATCCATGCTAGCAGTAGGGAACGTTCCAGTATGGATGCACTGTACATACAGATGCAGACTGTGGCAAATACCATTGTCAAGATTAACTAGTAATTAAATTATAGCTAGTCACTGTATTTCTGTTATTGAATTTTAGGCTAAAGTTAAAACAATTATATTAAAGTGGTCAATGAGTGTGTTATCTTCCTAACATCCTATTTTGCTCTTAACAATGCATGTTTTTTTTTTCTCCCACCGTATTGTATCTTCTTTTCAGAATCACTTGCTGATTTCAGTTTCACTTCAGTTTCTTTAATATAGTTATTCTACCTCATTAAACATGATTTAAATCTTATCTTGAAGTACCTGACATCTATATCAAATGGAATTACAATAAAATCCAGTAATATGATATCCCCAAAAGAGAACAAATACACCCCATTATGAAATTATTCTTTTTTTGTAAAACAGAATGGGTATTGGGTCTCAGTTTAAAAAAAAAAAAAAAAAAAACCATGACTCTGACACTATTCTTCTGGTAATCAGAATTGATATACACTTCTTCTCATAAGAAGGCTGACATAATTATTTCCTTTTTCACAGTTTGGCTCTCTCTACCTTTGCTTGTGGCTGAGATGTCAAAACCTTTGCCCAAAACTTAACCTGAACTCAATCTTTTTGAATACTTGATGCAATTCAGAGTAAACTTCACCCATTGGCCCCATTTTAATTTTATTTCTTGTACATCTCTAGATTTCCTGATCTACTGGAGAATTGAAGGCAAAACTCTTATTTGTGTGATGTGACCATCACTGAAATATTGACTGTTCCTGTTAGAAAGTAACAAGGAGTACAGGTGTTCACTGTACTAAGTAAGTGCTAATACTGTGTATCTGTACATTAAGCTTAGGGAATATCTGGGAGAATGTGGGGAAAATAATTTTTGGGTGACTTGGAGCACCCCTTTGTGTATGCAAGACCCTAGCACTTTGTGTTTATGCCCACACATAAATTTGAACATGGATATACACAGTACCTCATATTGTAATTCCAATTGCTGGAATTTTCTTTGCTAGATCTTAAATCTGACATGCCTAGGTTTCTTGCTGTAATCTGCTGTCTGAATAGGGGAAGAGGGTTCTTCAAACAGTTTCCTGGTCTTGGCCATTCTCTTGTACATGTTTGTTCTCCCTTTTAACCAAAGTTCACAGCCTTCACTGCAAATCAGACTCTTTGTATTTTTGGAATTAACTTCCTCTCCAAACTGAAGACTAGATGAAAGGACCCTTTTGATATGTGTCAGTTTTCAGGTTGATGAGTTGGGGGTAGGAGATGATCATCCATATTCACTAGTTCTGCACATGACAAGCCTTTTCCACTGATCCTGTTTTCCCCACATTACCTCCCACTTCTGCCCCTCGCCCTTTTGTTTTTGTTTTTCCTTCCTCCTGAAGCAGTGATGCTTCAATTCTGAATCACCTCCCCAACCCCTTAAGAACCACTTAAAATAAACCTCATTTTGGTTTCCTGGAATGAGCAGTCAGTCTTTATTGTGCAGTAAATTAATTCTAGTAATGAACACCCGTCCCAAATCTTTGCAGGTAATTAGCAGTTCCGATTACCCAGGAGTCTCAGTCAATTTCTTTTGAAGCTGCAGGTGGATCAGATAAGCAAGTGCCATGATTTTAAAACACTTGTTTTAAAAACAGCATGTTGCGGGTGCAAGAAGTCCTGCAGAAAATATTGTCAGGGTATAATCCTTAGAGAATTTATCCTATAATAGCATAGTACAGTCAGTGAGAAACATAAGAGTTTTGTTTGCAAATAAACTGTTGTTGACTGTTGATTTTTACAGTTCTGGGAAATCCTTTAAAAATGCTTGGCAAATAAGTGATTTTTTTTAAAGGCAAAGGCATTTTATGTTGCCCTTTCCTTCTGGAGTTTTTTATTGAAATGAATATGAAAGAAAACTCTATTTAGCAACATTTTAATATTAATTTGAAATACCATTGACAGGAACTTCCCCTCTTCACATTCAGTGATTTCCCATTAAACTACCCAAACCAATAAAACAAATTGCTTGAACAGCAAAAGTTCTAACTAAACTGAACAAGTACCAAAAGAATGGAAGTGGGGGGAAAAGGTGATTCTTCTTATTACTCACTATAAATGTATTAGGTTACTTATTTTTCCCCCAAGATGCCAGTTAGTTCTATGTAAATAGAACTACAAAATAACATGGAGAAGGATGGAAACGATCCACATTAACATATTTAGCACAGTCTTGTTGGTGCTACTGTAATCCACACACCTTCTGGGTGTGGTGTTCTGTCCCATCTAGTGGCGCCGAGACCACTGAGAGAAGGAGAGAAAGATTGAGATTGAGTCTGCTCTAGAGCCTTAGCTTTTAGCTCACGTGATAGAGGCTCATGCACTAAGCTCCAGAAGTCCCAGGTTCAATTTTGCCCGCCGACAACTGGGGCGGGGCGGTCTGTCAGTGTTACACTACCATTTTTGCTATGCTATGGGCAGTGTGTATACAGACAGTATGCATCTGGCTTTTTGGAAATAATGTCTAACCTGCAGGCTAGTGAAAGTAATTGGAGTTCGAGAAGGTGTCCACAAAAAAAGAAAAATGAAAATGGTAGTTTTGAAAGACTGAAATTATTCTTGTTCAACTTAATCTAATTCAAAAGGGATACGGCTTGAGGGTTATATAATAATTAGGATATTCTTTATTTGTTTTTTGCATTATAGTGGAAAACCCAGACTGGGCCATTTAATCAAATAAAATACGATGTTGCTTAAAATCCGGAGTGGGAGAAATAGCTACCTGAAGACTTGTCAAAATTGGGACACAGCATGACTTTTGTGAGCACTTAGAGCTTGTATTGGTTCTAGAGTTGACCTGTGATTATTTCTTGGGAACCAAAGATCCTGTTGGTGCAGAGCTGACACGTCATAAAGGTCTTGCCTCAGCTGCAACACAACACATTGTAATTCCGATTGATAGAATTTTCTGTGAAATAGGAGGAAACATTGCAAGTGACTCCAGCTTAGTTTTCCTTATGTCAACAAGACTGTTGGATGAAAAATAGTGGTGCCACTGAAAGAATAGTGTCTCTCCTGTCAAGAAGTTGCTGAGTGCTTAGTTCTGCTAAAAGGATTTTTATTAGTAGACGAGCAAAGCTAGTTCTCAGACCTGAAAAACCAGGACAGGTGGTGCCTGTCTACACACTGCTGTTCAATGCTTCTGCATCCCCTACTGGGATTCTTGCTATGCACCGAGTAGTAGGAAGCAAGGGTGGAGTCTAGTTGTTCAGACTTGGTTCTGCTGCTGATTTAAGTAGGTCCAGCGGGCCAAACAGCTGTCCTGGGACTCTGCCAATTGGAGCTTATGAGTGCAGCTTCATGAGGCTGGGCTCTGTGGGTCTCAGATAAGCTGTTGCCAGCTGACTGCTAGGTAAACGATTGGAGCATGGTGGCTCCCATGAACCTTGTGGGCCTGGGTACAAGACCGGTGGATCATGACACTGACTCTGCGCAGAACCATTGACTCAATGAGTAAGGGCATCACAATCCTCCCAGAGATATAAAAGACCCATTAGACAAGCAAAGGCAGGATTGGTATGTCAATACATTTTCTAGTGTTTTGCCTAGTATAGTTTAACATCTCTTTTGCCTTCCTCATCCTACCCATGCAACCACACACATATTTTAGCTTGGCTTCAGTTTGAGTTTAGAGCCAGTGACTTCTTTTATTATCTGACCAAGCTCCTGTCCCACATAATCCTCTGAGATGTCAGTAACCCTCGAAATTATTGGTATACCAGAAGAACAGGAGATTTATGGTCAATACGCAAAAGGGATACATTTTAATTAGACTATCAGATATGATGCATTGTAGAGTCTTTGTCCACTGGAGTCAGTTGACAGGTATGGGGCCTGATTCTGCAACCACATTGAGTATTCCCTTTGAAAACACTATACTGCTCATCTGTAAATAAGGGTTGCAGGTATGGTATTTATGAATAAATAGTTAATATATTCACTATATTTTAATAACATATTGATTAATGCAATTGCAATAATAAGAGTTTTATAATCTATACTAAAAGTAAACCTTTACATTGAAATTGCATGTTCATTCAATTACTAGGTTGAAATCATACACAGGATAAATTCTGTGCTTCTAAAACAGTTACAATCCTAATATTTTGAAGGATGGAAATCATGCCTCAAAGTATCTTAATCTAAAATGTGTGAAACTAATAAAACAATGTGCCAAATTCGGTCCTCAGTTACACCTGTGCAGTTGAGGCTGTTGGGTTGTACGGGTGCATTTGAGGGCAGAATTTTTCCCAGTATGTTACATGTCATGTGTGGTGAAATTCACTGACGTTCTTACATGGTAAATTGTAGTCGTAATAACAAGATCCCTTCAGCAATTGAAGTGATGGTACAATAACTTCTGGAAACACTTCTTTTAGTTATACTTAAAAATAGGTCCAGTAATTCCTTTGTTCTGGGATGAATTTATGGATTAAAAGTATGTTTGAGTTACAAATCTTCATATATATGGTCACTGATCTTGTAAGAATTAAAGATAATTCAGGCCACCACCCCACAATGACTAAGGGCATAGAAAGAGATGGACTTACTGTATGGAAACTTTTAAAACAACTAAATTGGCCCAATTGTGGTCTCAGTTAGTGATGTAAATCAAGAGTATCTCCACAGATACCAGTAAAGCTTCTCTCATTTTATAATGATATATCTCCGATCTAAGTCTGGACTAGTCTCCTTTGTTTTGATGACTAAGGGGCTATAGCAGTTCATGAGCAATTAAGGGCCTAATTAGCAAGGAAGGAGACTAATTGTGTAAATTGCTCTGTAGGACATTGCCAGGAGTATTAGGATAAGACACAGCCAGAAAAAAATTAGAATGAATATGAGTTAGAAAGAATCCTAATGGTGAGATCAATTATACTGTGAAATGATCTCCCGGAAGAAACGGTGGCTCCGTTCCTTCTGTCCATTAATAATCGACTGAAGCAAAGCAGGGAATAAACTATGGAGAACAAACCGACATTGGCAGGCATTAAACTTGATCACCATCACAGTGGATAAATCTATGAGTCTTGCCTCTTTCTAGTTTAGATGTGTTGGTGAAGAACTATACATTTAAAATGGATTTATAAATTTTTTTAAAAATCTAAGTGCTCCTGTATCTTTTTCATCAACAGGAGTGTTGAAGAGTCCAATAATAAGCAGTCAGCAGTTGAGTAATTTTATACAGTAGAAAAAAATATAATGGATGTACTTAGTATTGTGGGTCAAGAATCCGCCCTCCCACCCCCAATCCTTGCACTTTTAGATACACTACTTGTTATATGGTTAGCTTATTTTCAAGTGATAAGAAATACATTTTTCACTAATGTGAGCATTATCATGTGTACTATGCAGGCAAGTAAAAATCATATTCCAGTCGGTTAACTTCATCTGGGAGCTGATCCAAATCCTTTTTGAAGTGAATGGGGAGTCTATTTGTTGATTTCAATGGGATTTGGATCAGGCATCTAGAGCAGCCAACTTTGTATGCAAAATCTGTGAAGTTGTGATTCCTAAGCTACCAGCTTCTTTTTTCAGTTCCGTACAGTATGCTGATACAGTAAGTGCATCATGGATGTAACTGATATTTGTATACTATCTAAAATACGTTGGTGACATGTTCACCTTGAATTACGTGCACCGTTTATCTGGATGTCAAAGAATGAAGTTGTCCTAATAATGTTCATATAACTTCACCTTCCTTGGGTTACCAAACACACAAAACAGTGAAAAATCACTTCGGCTGGGTTCTGCTATTTTAC